ACTAGATTATCAGATTAGGCACTACTTCAGGTGACGAAAAATTTTATACATATTTAAGATTACCACACCTTAAGCAACTATTACAAATAAAAGTTAAATTTTGAAATCGACTGAAGGTAGTAATCGTTTCGATTCGTTGAAGATCTTTGTTGGTATATCTTAAAATTTATTGGTATTGGTTGAAGAACATTTAAAACTGAATCAATAGCAGGAAGACCATATTTAGCTTCCGGAAATTTACTAAGGCACTATGGGATTTCCAGGCGCTCATATATTATCTCATTAGTTACAAATATGCATTCTTTCTGTCCAGATTCTCTTTCGAGCAAGTAAAGACACCCATATATGTCTAACTAATATTCCAAATACAAAGGAATGATATTTGTCTTCAATTTCGCTTTAATCTATTTCTCAATTTAACTTTCCTCTCGCTTGCCATTTAAGAAACATCAACACGGACTTGAATTGATGCAATCACCCTGTAGATTAGCATAACAATTCCAGCTAATTTCTTTTCAGTAAATATGATATAGTATTTTCCGTACAAGGCGTGACTAGGTTTACCATTTCTACAGCGACTGGTTCGTATTTTTTTATGTAGTTTCAAGGTCAGGAGATTTCCTTTTTTAGTTACGCAACCTTATATGTCTGACAACTGAACAATACTCGATATATTTACCAGTTTTTTCTTGCGGTGATTCAGATTGCACTCTGAATTATTATTTCTGTAATGAATAGGCGAATCATGAACAATGCAGAAGTACGAGTTGATGGCAGAAGTGACCCCGATAGCTCGCAAAAATTAAGAACGAGGTAATTTGGTTAGGTCAGCCGTTGAAAATTCTCATTCATGACTATTACTGGTATTTCTTGGAAGGGGTACCAAGCGCTCTGTAATTTGGATGTATTTGCTTTTAATATTAGGTTATGTGGTTTTCGCCTAGAGGACAATCCTTTGAATTACTGAAATTAACGCACCTTTTTTTACAAGAAAAAATTTTTTTACAAGGAATTATGTTACATTAATAAGTTAATTTTCTCTTAAATTATAAGAATATTAGAAAATCTTGATACAAATCTTAACTGAACTGCTTGCTGTAAGATACAGTTGAACATGGGACCTGTTGAGATTTTTAAGATGAATTTTTTTTTCGAAATTAAATTTTGTGGAAAAAGATTCAAAACATTTTTCTTTAAAGTAACTATTAAAGTAAATTTTTGATAGAGGGTATCTTGATTTACGAATCTGTTTTCTATCAAATAAAAGTTAAAAACGACCCCCTTTTTTAAACTATAACTTCTTCGAAACGGCGAATTCTAGTGACTATGATTTTTTTTTAGATTCAGATTTATGAAAAATTATACCACCCATTAGTAATATTTATCAAAAATCGAATAATATGACATTATTGGCTATGCATATACATTGGTACACCCCTTGGCTTGGTGTACCATTATTTTTTAATAATATGGATGATTATCTTTTGGAAAATAGTTATTTTATCTGATTTCGAATTCAATTCGGGCGAAAACGCATCCAAAGGACGACCGGCCTAAGGAGTGAAGGTAAACGCAAATACAGTTCCTTAAAAAATTAAACCAAAAAGATAAGTTTTAAGATTTGCAATAGGTATGTGTTTTTTAGTTATTAAGTTTTCAGTTATTTTGTTTTTTAGTTATTACATTCGAAATATGCTGTACGAATATTTGAATAAATATTAGGTACAATTTTCTATTCAAATATACAATATACAATAATTTGTCAAAAGAACAAAAGTTTTATGTATCAACAGTGTGCATATAAACTAGATATACATTTTAGATTTGATCAAGGTTGTCCAATTCTTTTTATCAAATTATTGGTGCTAGTTACTCATACAGCTGTTGTTTAAACAGCTTAATATTAACATAGATTAAAATAATTCACGTAGCCACACTGTCTACCAAATTATGCTCTTTAATTTGTAAATAAAGGGCAATTAATGTTTTTTGTTTGGTAACTTCGACATCGCGTCGTATTTGAGTCGTTTTCTTTTTAAAATTAAATATGTTAGAGTCAGACGACCTTGTATATTATCAGAAAAAAAATGTTAATGAAATTATTACTAGACATATGTGACCTGATTGTCTTCTCTAAAAATATTATATTACCAATAATATGTGGAAAATAATTACTCTGGAAACTAAAACCCCATCGAGCACTGAATTACACTCGCAATATCTAGTAAACAGCTAAAATTATTCGTCAGCAGAATCACCAAATAGAAACCGGTTTCAAATTTATTAGCTTTCACCAGTACGGAGTAAGTGTAGCACAAAGCATTGCTTTATAACTTGACAATTGTTTACTAAATATTGCAGGTATAATTCAGTGCTGGACGGGACAGAATAGTTATTCCCCACAACATCATTAGTTAAAAGGTTTTTTTCATCTAGTGCGATACTAGTCATTCTTTCATAGCACCTACAAATTAGTAAGTCGATTTCTGCCAGTACGTAAGGCAATGCTTTGTGCCAGTACCAGTGACAGCTAAGATATAAACACACTTTGTAGGTTACATCTCACCCACACATTACAAATATCACATGCTCGCAATGAAACACTTTACAATTTATAAACTAGTAACACAAAAAACTTGTAAACGATTTTTTTTAATAGGTTGCAACAATACAATATGATTTGCTAAGGAATTACATTTAAATTTAAAACCAAGTACTTAGAATGAAGTAAAGGGTAATAAACAGTGCGTTCATAAAATAAAAAATAAATTCAATAAATAATTGGGTGGGTCATTTATCTTGAGACAAAATAATATCTCGGTTGGACTCGATTATATCGAAAAAAGTTTCAGACAAAAATTGTAGGGCATCGAGAGGGCCATTGGAAGGCCCATACTACGACTTCTGATTTAGACCGGAAGTTGTTTTTTTTTTAATGGATACAACCATTTTTTACCACAGACTTCGATTGAAAAACGAAAAAAAATACTTTTTGATCTTATTATCTTTTCGATTTAACCCATATGTTGGCCATAAAATGGAGTTAATATCGCCTATTTCAATTTTAAAAATCACGAATTCAAAACGAAAATGTAAACGAAAAATCAATTATGCGTTTTCAAAGAAATCAAAGTAGATCAATAAAGAAAATTTGTAATTCATGAAACAGCATCTCATTTAACTAATTAATTCTAATTATTTCCCTTTTAAGTTCCCTTTAAATTAAATAATACTTATTTTTGCACTAAAACTATCCAAATTCAGTCTTCAGCAAATCATAAAAATCTTCAGACATCTGAAGAAATTCTTCATTTCACAGAAAACGAGCACCCCAAAGGGAGTAAAAATCTACTACGTCCACATCGTTATTCCTGGGTAGTGCTAAAAGTAGTTAATAATTATACAGTTTTTCGACCTTGAAGTCAAGGTCAAGGTCATTTTCAAGGTCATGTCAAGATAGCCCCCTTTTCAGTCTACAACTTTTGTATGAATTTAAAAAAAAAAAAAGTGAAAAAAATAAGACCAAAAAGTAATTTTTTTCGTTTTTCAATCGAAATCCGTGTTAAAAAATGAGTGTTTCCATTTAAAAAAATCAACATCCGGTCTAAAAACACCAGTTCCGGTCTAGACCGGACGTCGTAATATGGACCTTTTAATGACCCCCTCGGTATCCTATAATTGTCAGAAACTTTTTTCGAAATAATCGAGTCCAGCCGAGATATTATTTTGTCTCAACATAAATCCTGCACCCATATATGGTGACCCATATTGAAGTAAAGACGGTATGACTTATTTCTTAAATGGAAATTGGCCTTTTTATATTATTGTCGAAGAGTTTCTTTAAAAATTTTTTAAACAAACGTGCATGTACCTTTTCCTTTACGTTTTCTTATATTGTTAATGTTTGCTACCACGGCTAAACACCGAAGCCAGGAGACACGCAACCCACAACCTGGAAATTTTGTTGAACCCCCATTTTGTTGTGGAGTAAAGAACTCTTACTTGCCTAACATTATTTAGACAAGGGATCAACGGTTTTACATTATTTCCGGGGGATGATATGTCTTCCTATATAAACTTCGCCTAAATTTGTATAGCTTCTTCAATGACATGAATGCCAAGGATGCTAGGACGCATTTGTCCCTGAAAGTACAGTAAGAAAGTCCACTAAAACCCTTCTTACGAAAATAATATGACAACGAATAGATCGAGCTCCAGTTTTTCCGAAAAATATATGACGAAATTACTTTATTTAGATTATATTTATTTTATTACTTTAATGAAATATAAACAAGCTAAAAATGTGGTTAAAACTTTAGTACTTACAATAAAATAAACGACCCAAATTTGATGTTTTTTTATGGGTGAAATAAAAAAAGTTTACATCTATAAATAGTCACTGCTTTTCAATGTCTAGGTTTTCAGCTCGTTCAAAGTGGCAAGTACAATGAAAGCAAGAACTGTGTCGCCACTAAGGTAAACAAGTTTTGACTGACGTTATTATGGGAGACAACTACTCTATGGACTACTGCCTCGATCAGCAGCATTATACCTGCAATATCTAGTAAACAGCTATATTTGAGAAAGAGGTGGTGTCGGTTGTCTTACCTGTGGTACCGTTATGAGAACTACTGGTGGTTCTTCTCGTTATTGACCAAATATTAAGGATGTAATTTAATGCTGGTCAAAACATTAGTCCGCAGAGTAGTTGTTTCCCGCGATACTATTAGTTAACATTTTTTATGACAAACGTATAACATAGCCGTTATTATGTTACCTATTTCCACATCAATGTTATTTTTTCGGTTGTTTCTGGGTTAGCTAGCACAGTTCGTTTTATCCGTGTGTTATTTGCGCGCATAAGCCTAGAAGAAGAGGAAGCTAGTAGTGTTAAGACGTGTTAATTAATTAGAATTCATACTTCAATTTGTTGTAACTAGTGTTAATCGTTTTTAGTACATCTAGTCGAGTTAATCGAATAAAACTTTTGGTTTTCGTACCAATACGCTTCACGTGGACGTCCCTATTGAAGGACACGCGTGGCTTTACGGATGCGTCCGATCGTTGAGAGTCCGTTCGGATGACATCAGGCATCCCAGCTATTGATTGCTCATCCTGCAACACCCGAACAAATCCTGCAAGTGCTGTCTGTGAAAATTTTTGGGGGGTGACTGACAATGAGTCTGACAGTGCTGAAATGAGATGATGAAGATTTTGCTGTGGGATGGGATGATGATGAAGATGATGGAAGAATTCAGGAATTGAAGGGTTCGTGAAACGTAAATCATTTGCTAAAGTTTATAAATATTCATTATTTTTCAGGTTCAATAAAAAGGCCCACCTTTAACCAAAAATGTTATTTGAAATAATGAAGTTTACATCAGACGGGTCACAGAAAATACATTTTTTCTAATAATTACTATATAAACCGGTTTTATATTTTCTGTGGATGCCATTCAAATGCAGGGTAATAAATTTCAATAATATATTCATATATTTACACCACATGGTGGTGGCTCTGGTAACATTCATTATTTTTATTTAAAGCGCATTCTTCCTATTTAGCGTTTTTATGTATTTTCAACTATTGGTATACGAAAAACAGATGGAATTAGATATGTGTTTATTTAAACTTTTTTCCTCAAAACGAAGCTATGATCTGCAGCTATTTTTGGAGGATTAATTAACTTCATGTGACAATTTACAAACAAAATTTAAATTATTCATATTTTCAGCCAGTGTATTCACACAACACAATAATTTTTTCTTGTGGGAAAAACCCAAAAATTTTAAAAGCAGAGCAAATAATGTTGCTGCAATAAGATCCTGACATATGGAAAGTTGTGCTATATGTTGTTTAACACAATGGCCCAATTTTGATATCACTGTTTGTAAATTGTAACAATTTTAACTCAGCCTACAAAAATAACTTTAGACATTTTCATTTGAATAGCAAAGTTCGAATAAATACTTCTGTAACTCAACCCATAGATCAAAGTCTCACTATTAAACAGTTAATATACAGTAGTACCAGAACAAGAGCATATCTGAGACAAAATTGTTAATGCTTTTCCGATTTTTATATACGGCATATTGGATCCGTTATCTTTTATTCTGAAATTTTTGGATTCGGACTTTAGACTCGTAATCAGCGACCCCAAAAACCCGCAATAACAAAATTCAGGCAAAAATATTGAATAGAAAAAATATATGACTTAAAGGGGTAAGTGAGGCCTTAGTCTGTAGGTGGTGTCCAACCCTTTGAGGGATAAGTTATATTATATTTTTTTGATATGTTGTCTATCAGCCTACATTTAAATATTTGCCGGTATAAAATGATTTTCTATGGTTTATCACATTGTTTTACACTAACATTCGTTATTTGATCTTAGAGGTGGAATTATGAAGATGTTTTGACGCATTAATGTACTTACCTACTCTTAGAATAAAATAATTTTTTATCCTTCAGGAATTTTGGGTACAATTGCTATAAAATTTCATTAAGATTTCATTGAGACCTGTAATACAATACAATCAGCCCTTTATTTAGTTTAGTATTATAAATAAGGGTAACATAATGTTCCCTGAAATATTTTTTTTATGTTAACCACACTGAAAGAAATGGGCTTATTAAACTGTTTATCTAGAATAATGTGTATAGCGCATATTAAAACATTTATAACCAATATACAACTTTTATTAAAAAAAGCAATCATCTCCATACTCATTATTCAATCAGTTTAACTGGAAGGTGCTTAATACACCTTATGCATCTTTGAAATAAAGGTTATAATGAATTACTTATACATTATTAGGTGTTATAGACTTTATATTCCATTTGTATAGTAGGGAGGATGTGTTGTATAAAGACCAGTATCCGAATTTGTATATAACAATTGTATTAACAGAATTATTCGTTCTTATACTGAATAAGTTTCCATTTTTTAACGTGTAAAACGCATCTTATAATGGTTAAGTGATCGTCACCTCTCGGTGCATAATCGGTTATGATGGTTGTTAAGTTATATTCATAGTCTTGTAATAATAATCATATGTCAGACCCGAGAGCGAAGTGCTCCGACTCAATAAGAAACCTGGCTATTCCAGCCGCTGATTTAGGGTTCGCCGCACGAGCTCATCCCTTCTAAGATTTCAGTAGCATGCTATGCATGAAGCAGAACGGTACTCAACCATCTTATACAGTCCACTTTTATTGTCCATACATGTTCAATCATTGTCAAAATAAACACACAAAACCACAACGTCTTTATTATCTTTACTCAAGAAGAGAAAATACAACAATCAAGTAAAATTTCCTACAGTCCGCTGTGCATCGACTTACACACGTCTAGTTTGATGAAAATGGACAGTATATGCACATGTTTTGTGGGATACATGATCATATCGCGTTGTGTGAAATGGAAAATTATTATGTAAGTATCTAACTGTTTTATGGCTTGCAATTGTTTTGTTTTTTCAAATGTAAATCTTGTCTAAATCTTAAAAATTATTATTTTGTAGGTCCTATTAGAAATCGCTCATGTTAAGTTTTACATAAGATGGAGGAACAGAAGGTTAATGGTGACAAAGAAGAGCATGGGTATAAAGTCAATCAACCAGAGGAAATAAAATTATATGGAAAGAAGCTCAACCTTTCTGGGGATGCTTCGTTCTTAAGGTGGAAGACTTATAGTGCAAATTCTCATGTAATACAAGAAAATACGGGTGCATCGTTGCTAAGAAAATAAACTGGACTGTTTTGGGAGCGATTTGTCATCATTTTTAATGCTTAAAAGTATGTTTTATGTATGTTTACATTAGAACCTTGTAATTACAGTTATCCAATAAAATTTCTGAAAACTTAATGACATATGTTTTTAACTCGTACAGAGTATACAACAGTTTAATACATTTATTATTATAAAACTTATAACCAGTACTAGATGTTCTAATAACGACATGGAACACTTCAATAACAGTTATTGTTATTATTTCGTAAAGGGTATAAAAAACGTTGTATACTAGTTATACAATAATTTAATAAAGAATAAGGTTTATAGTCACTATACAACTGTGCTAGCAATATGTGTTTTATATCCAATATTCACCTATTTAACTGTCACATATAGTATACAATGGTCTTATAATGGTATATAGAATTCTAATAAAGAATAAAACGCATTTCTTTCAGTGCAGTATTATTCCCACATGATAACACAATTTTTTTTACACCCCGAATACACCTTTAAGGTATAAGATTGGTTGCTATAAATATGCAACGTCATTCATCATACTTTTTAGTTTTAATTGGGACAACCACATTTTTAGTAACTCATGTAGGAAGTGACAGACGCAACACTAAAAATGATCAGATAGACATGTGCTACATTAATATATACAATTTCTTTTTTGTAGGAGTGTAAGGTACAGTTCGCGAACCACCCACAGCTTGCACTGTTTTATATTGAACAAATAAGAATATATTCATTGCTCGATGCCAGTAAATACCTATATTACGTTTTAGAACATATGTTTCTATTCATTAGGGTAGAAACATGTTTAAAATATTTACGTGCAAGAAGAATATACATATGAATAAACAGACGTAGTTTGTTAATAGATGTAAATTTTACAATAAAAATAATTTGTTTGTGTATACATAGCTATTGTCATATAATTATAATATATGTGAACCATAAATTTTTATATGCTAGGTCTAATTGTATGTATTTGATATGTGATAGTGTTTTTAAATTTCTTTTTGACGTGTAAGTATTTTATACACAATATTCGGGTACTGTGAATAATGCCCTAGCACGGTACATAATAACTAGGACAGTTGGACAAAGTGATAAACATTTGTAGGTTTATCACACTGACCGAGCATAATGTCCAATTTGCCTCATTGGACATGACATGATGTTAAACTGTCCCAGTTTCTTTGTCAGCACGAGATAACTTGTAACTTGTGCAGAGCGGTTTGGGTTTTTAAGAAGAAAATTTCTTTTAATTTTGAAACTTCCACAAAAGTATCGATGAATTACAGCCGATATAAATACAATAATCTCAAAGGTACTCGTATTAGTTACGTATTACCTCTGGACAATAAATCAACAATGAACTCGACCCATATTTATAAGCTTAGCAGAACAAAGAAACAGCAAGGATTTAAAAGACAGCGTCTAATGAGGCTTATCGGGATTGATTAGATAAAACATAATTTTGTTGTGATTAAGGTTTTGTGGATATACAGGGTATGTATAAAGGAATAAGCACAATTGCTGCCAGATAATCTTGAGAGCGAAATATGATAATTGAGCCAAAGATTCAGAGATGCTTAATTTGCAAGTCACTTCAATTTTTGAACAGCTTTAGAAATAAGCATATTTCGAAAAAATTTGTGCTGACGACTTAGCTAAATAAAGGTAAAAATATATAAACGGTTATATTAATCAGTGAGAGAGGTATTAGGATGATCATTAAAAATTCCAGAATTTTGACAAAACTAATTGTATTGGAAAGTTTATTTGATTTATAGTTGCATTTTAAAGGAATAAATTTCTAGTAATTGCTTTTTCAATTTAAAATAAGCTCACTAATAGAGTTAAATAAATAGAAAATTACCAAATCCAATTTTTTCCGTTTTACAAATGAAAACACGTGTTGGAATTTTTGTTGCAAATTACCTTACCCTATAGTAAAAATAAAAAATAAAATTTTATTAATAAACATTAAAGATAAACCACTGTAAAATATGTAATTGAACTTTCTGACGAATAGCAAGGAGCAAATTTCTATGTTGCTGAATTTTTTGGACTTTTAAAGATTACATTGTCTTATTTGATAAAAGATTACACAGGCCCACAAACAGAAATCGAAAAGTCCTTTTTCCCAGACTAAGTGACCTTCATGTTTTTGGGGTCGCTGATCACGATTCCGGTGTCCATTATGATACTATCACGTCTAGATCAAGGTCAAATGGAGGTCAAATACATTAACTCGAATGATACCATTTTTTTGACCCCGGATTCGACCTGTTTTTCGAACGGAATTTTCCGCTCTTTGAGAATCCGGTGTCAAAAAATTGCATCATTCGATTTTAATGTGCTTGACCT